AATCTCAAATGAAAAAAAAGAACAGATATTTGGTATATGTTCTTTTAGAGGAAAAGGTTTTGTTCAAGAAGTCGTCACCTAATATTATGGTCACTAGGAACCCCAACTAATTAACAGAGATTTTATGGTATGATAATTGTTATGCAAAAGGAAAAAGGTTATTACCCTTTAAGCATCCTACCTAAAGTAGACTGCATTGCTGGTTTGTGTAAAATCGCTAAGAATTTGTTCTTCTTTTTCCCCTTTTTCATTCTTCCCTTCATGTTTCTAATTTTGGCGTCAATGAATAATTCCTATGAATATTTCCAACTCTAGTGTTGGTAAACATCGTACAAATTTAAAAGTACAATATTTCTATCTCTGGCGTCAATGAATAATTCCTATGAATATTTCCAACTCTAGTGTTGGTAAACATCGTACAAATTTAAAAGTACAATATTTCTATCTCTGGCGTCAATGAATAATTCCTATGAATATTTCCAACTCTAGTGTTGGTAAACATCGTACAAATTTAAAAGTACAATATTTCTATCTCTGGCGTCAATGAATAATTCCTATGAATATTTCCAACTCTAGTGTTGGTAAACATCGTACAAATTTAAAAGTACAATATTTCTATCTCTGGCGTCAATGAATAATTCCTATGAATATTTCCAACTCTAGTGTTGGTAAACATCGTACAAATTTAAAAGTACAATATTTCTATCTCTGGCGTCAATGAATAATTCCTATGAATATTTCCAACTCTAGTGTTGGTAAACATCGTACAAATTTAAAAGTACAATATTTCTATCTCTGGCGTCAATGAATAATTCCTATGAATATTTCCAACTCTAGTGTTGGTAAACATCGTACAAATTTAAAAGTACAATATTTCTATCTCTGGCGTCAATGAATAATTCCTATGAATATTTCCAACTCTAGTGTTGGTAAACATCGTACAAATTTAAAAGTACAATATTTCTATCTCTGGCGTCAATGAATAATTCCTATGAATATTTCCAACTCTAGTGTTGGTAAACATCGTACAAATTTAAAAGTACAATATTTCTATCTCTGGCGTCAATGAATAATTCCTATGAATATTTCCAACTCTAGTGTTGGTAAACATCGTACAAATTTAAAAGTACAATATTTCTATCTCTGGCGTCAATGAATAATTCCTATGAATATTTCCAACTCTAGTGTTGGTAAACATCGTACAAATTTAAAAGTACAATATTTCTATCTCTGGCGTCAATGAATAATTCCTATGAATATTTCCAACTCTAGTGTTGGTAAACATCGTACAAATTTAAAAGTACAATATTTCTATCTCTGGCGTCAATGAATAATTCCTATGAATATTTCCAACTCTAGTGTTGGTAAACATCGTACAAATTTAAAAGTACAATATTTCTAACTCTAGCGTCAATGAATATTTTCGCGAAAAAATAAATTTGAAGAAGAAATTTTCTATATTATTTTTTTATCCTTTATTATTATTTTTCCTTTTTAGATGTAAAAAAAAATATAGCATAACAGATTTGTATTTAATAATAATGGGTCACCAGTTGAGCATATAAGAAATAATGAAAAAAAAAACAACATGTAGAGAAAAATAAATAAATCAAAGTGCGAGGGGCCCACAAATAAATTAACAAAGATCCCCAAATATTTTTGAAATTTTCTGATATCGAAAAGGGGTTCGTTTGGCCAAATATTAAACTAATATGAGCATAAAAATTATGACTAAGATATAAGGGTGTGTTTTACCAAACACAACTTTAACAACACACTTTGAGCTGGCTGGGCCTAAAATTCATACCCGATGATTAGTACTTAAAAGTGCATTTTTATCATGGTTTTATATCATCATTTTGCACTTGAAGTATCAATAACTCCTTAACCAAAGCATATTTTATAATAATATATCTAATAATATAAGATAACTTTAATTTGTGGTAAATGTC